AACGCCTGAAATGTTCTGGCGTCAAAGCTGCTACACGTCAACATGAGTGACAGCCGACCCCGGAGCTCACGGAGGGTTTACAAAGTGAGCAAAGGAAACACAACCTCTGGTCTGTGTCATGTGTGTGAGCAGAGAGGAGGGAGACGATGGCGGGGTCACAGGTTCTGAGATAGAGCTTTGAAGGAGACATTGTGCTTTCGTCTGCAATTACATCCATGGATCATTATTTTGTGTTTTGGACATGAGCCTGTAATAAAGATGGGGTATTTTTTCCCCCTCCAGAACCCATATTGAAATTCAATACATTTTTTTGAATACCTTGTTAATTATCGTATACTTGTGAGGAAGAGCCATGTGAGTCAATACGGCTTAACTTTTGGCTTTTCTTACCCCACACTTCAACGCAATAGTTTAGATAATTGTATAGTAATAATAATAATAATATAGTGAGACTAGAGCATTGGTGTTCAGTAAGTGACGTGATTTTGAATTATGTATTTTCAATACACGTTATTAAGATTTAATACTTAAATAAGGATATGTTTATTTGATAGGGACAGAACAAGAAGCATTGTAACAAATAACCGATGCCATGTTCATAGGCCATACAGCGAACAGCTAACTCAAATTTTCCCCACTCTTATCTTATTCACAGACCTGGTAACTAAGACACACAAAAATATCAAATTTACAGATCATTATAAAAACATAGATTACACAGTACAAACTATTTACTATAGAATATTATAGTCTTGCATTGTGCTCACAAGTTTGATTCCTTTTGAGCCATTGTTCTCATTCAGGTCAGTTAAAGATTTCAATTCAGCTGGTAAAATATATTATAAAATAGGATAATATATAGATACACATTTATACACAATTACATATGCATTCCACAAACTGCAACTGCTATCACAGCTTGAGATTGATGAGGTACGACACATGTATTGTGCCACTGACGCCACAGATGCCGAGGTCAGAGGGGAGGTCCCACCAACTCCAACTCCCCAACCAGATATTGGGTACATAGCCCAAACGGAACCAATAACACTGAACGAGGCAGCGACTGACCTAAAAGTTAAGATCATGGCAAGAATGGGCACAGGGCATAGACACCGGTTACAGAAGTTGTGTGAAGTACCACCTAAGTGAGGGCGATACCTATCACCACAATCACTGAAACCAATGAGCTGATATACACTTCGGCAGCAGTGATCCTAGAGATGCTTGGCTATAAGAGCAACCATGGGAGCCATGGACAATACCCACCATGGAAAAGACGGTTGGAGGCTAAGATCAAGGCTACTCGGACAGAAGTGAGTCAATTAACAGAGGCCCAAAGAGGTGCAATGAAAAGACCGGTGCCAAAAAAGTAGATGACGATACCTGAAGCACTCGAAACTGCCAAACAAAGGCTCCAAGCCCTGGCCAGCCGCCTCCAGAGGTACACTAAAGAGAATGAAGCCAGAAGGGTGAACAGGCTGTTCGCAACACAACCTGCGAAGGTGTACGCTCAGTGGCAGGGTAACAACAGGGGAGCAGACCCACCAAGTCTGGAAACTGAACAGTTCTGGAAGAAGGAAGCAGCACATAAGAGCAGTGCACAATGGCTGGTGTCCCTGAGAGAGGAGCACAGTCACCTGCCAGAACAGATCTCAGTTACCAACACAGAGGCAGACATCCGAGAAAGAGTCTCAGGTATGAAAAACTGGACAGCACCTGGCCCTGATATGGTCCATGCCTACTGGCTAAGGACACTCACATCACTCCATGAGTGCCTAGCAGCACATATGAACCAGCTGCTGAGAGATGGGACTCACCCAGAATGGCTAACCGAAGGGCGAACGGTCTTTATCAAACACCAGCTCCTGGTTGACAGAACAGTCGCCCAAGACTGCCGGTAGCGACACACCAACCTGTGCCTGGATTGATTACCAGAAAGCCTACAACCTAATGCCACACACATGGATCATGGAATGCTTGAAGTTGTGCAATATCAACAGGGCTCTAAGGGACTTTGTTGCAAACTCAATGGGGATGTGGAAGACCACCCTTGAGGCAAATGGCAAGCCGCTCGCACAAGTGGCCATAAAACCTGGTATCTACCAAGGAGATGCTCTGTCCCCACTGCTGTTCTGCATAGGCCTGAACCCTCGAAGCCAAATAATCGACCAGACTGGCTATGGATACCGCCTCAGGAATGGAGCAAAGATCGGTCACCTCCTCTACATGGATGACATCAAGCTGTACGCCAAGAGCGAGAGAGACATCGACTCTCTGATCCAAACCACCAGAATATACAGCCATGACATCGGGATGTCATTCGAACTCAAGAAATGTAGCAGGATGGTGACTCGGAGAGGCAAGGTAGTCCACACAGAAGGGATCTCACTCCCAGAGGGAACAATAGCAGACGTTGAGGACAGTTACAAGTATCTCGGTATACCACAGGCAAATGGCAACCTCGAACAGGTGACGAGGAAAGCGGCAACTGCCAAATTCCTCCAGCGAGTAAGGCAGGTCCTAAGAAGTCGGCTCACTGGCAAGAACAAGGCCCGGGCAATTAACAGCTACGCCCTGCCAGTGATCAGATACCCTGCAGGAATAATCAGGTGGCCAAAGGAAGAGATTCAGACCACGGATGTTAAAGATGCAGAAAGCGATTTTGTTAGCTCAGCCGTAGAAACCATTCCCCCCTCCCCTCGCTTCTCCATCAAACCAAAACAACTGGCACACGTGAACGCGCATCCACACGTGATATCATTTGTCATCAGTTGAACATGTCTCATTCTCCTGATGAGCAGAGGAGTCGCGTATCACGGCTGTGTACACAGCTGCAGAGTCGTGGCTGCTGCTGTCTCTGTGAGGTCTATGGAGAAGTGTAGAGGACAGTGTAATGTGTTCATTGACACTAATCATCAGACGGATGGGCTGTGTTCGTATGTTTACTCTGCACTCTGTCCTACTACAGTACAGACGTGTTGCTGCAGCCGTTACTATTTGATGGCTCTTGCGTATGTTAGTATTTGGGGCGTTCACAAGAAGTCCGTACAAAAAGTATTGACATGGCAGAAAGTGTGGTAGAGCAGTAAAATCCACATGTACGTGTTTGTCCTCATGGTACCTGTGGCTGTTGTGGTCAGACGTGAGACTTTATGAACTGCGTGAAGTGGAGAGACCCGCGCACGGCCGTTATGTGTGATGTCAGTGAAAATTACCTTGTGAATGCACTGCCAGATCTCAGATGTCCTCCGCGATTATCACACAATTCAGTCATGTTTCTGTACACAAACATCTGTGCAGAGTATGGGCTGGAAACTCCAAGGTCTAAGTGGGAAACTCCTCCAAAGGTGGTGGAGAATGAGTGTGCGAAATTCCTGTAGGACTTCCAGATACAGACCGACCGAATAGTAATGGCGAACCAACCTGACATTGTGGTGGTAGACAAAGGGCAGAGGACAGCCGTGGTGGTGGACGTGGCAATTCCAAGCAATGGAAACATCAGAAGAAAAAAAAAAACGAAAAGCTTGAGAAATACCAAGGGCTCAGAGAGGAGCTGGAGAGGGCCTGGAGGGTAAAGGTGACAGTAGTGCCCGTGGTGATCGGTGCACTCGGGGCAGTGACCCCGAAGCTAGAAGAGTGGTTACAGCGGATCCCTGGAACAACCTCGGACATCTCGGCCCAGAAATGTGCAGTGCTAGGAACAGCAAAGATACTGCGCAGAACCCTCAAGCTCCCAGGCCTCTGGTAGAGGACCCGAGCTTAGAGAGGGATAACCGCCCGCGGAGGGCGAAAGGTGTGTGTTTTTTTCTTTTTCATCATCACTAGGATAAATTATATTTGTGTGGAAGAGCCATTTATGTCACAATAGGAATCTTTTGGCTGAGCCTCTTCACGTGAATATCATGTCGAGTACTTCTGCAACTTTACAAAACAAAGGAATGCCCTTTGTTACCAAAACAACTCTCATCAATCTATCGCAAACTCGCAGCAGATTTTTACAATTTGTGTCAAAGATAACGAAAGAAACAATCAATAGTTTGATTGTAAACTGTTCTTGAAGAAAGTATTTGAACGCAAAATAATAATGTGGTAAATTAATCAAATGTTATGATTCTTCATGAAAACCTTGGGAATATCTAAATTGTGCCTCCTTTTCTGTTTTCTCTAACCATAACATGTAATCACAGCAGCGAAGACTCTACAAAAGCATTTGATAATTGCAGCTAGCTGAGGCCTTCAGGAAAGTGAAATAAATGCAATTACGTCGCAGTTCAGAAAGGTGGAAACAGTTCATTGGTGCGTCCTTGTTGCAAACATCCCAAACCCCCTGACAGCATCTGAAGGCCCCACAACAAGTCGACTCATTAGGTTCACGTTCACAACCGTGATGACCTTTTACGCATCCATATTTCCTTGATTAATGTTTGTTTGATGACAGTGGTAAGATTAAGGACAGATTTAAAATGTTGTCAAGTAACTATTGATGAAATATTATGTACTTACAGTATGTTCATGATTTGATGCTGTGGATGACTGAGGATGGCTGTACACTGAGTGTTCGCTGTTCTGAAGGTTGTGGTTCGATACAGACTGATGAATCAAATCATGTCTATTTGTGTTGCACAATTTATGCAAGATGAAAAAGTGCTTTTCAAACCCAGTAGAAAGAAACAATTAATGGTAATAATTTATCAAAATCACTCTCTAACAATAAAGAACATTTGCTTGGGTGATGTCCTTTGTTTTGAATTGTGGACTTTAGGAAGTCATATTGACAATTAGTAAATTCAAATTCTTTAAATTTCTCCACATAAGATTGGAAAAACACACTCATTTGTTCTTAAACTTCTCCTGAGGTTACAGACCTTCAATTACCTTATTGTTGCTCTCATTCATAGTGTTATACACGACATAGTAAATAAAATGATAACTTTACATATTATTGTTTGTTTTGTTTATTTTTGATTGCAGGGTTAGGAGGTGACAGTGGGAGGAGTTTAGTAGTGACGCCTGGACGCCCACTTCTTGTCTGTGATGGAGAGTCTTTTCTGCTGTGACCGTTGGTCCTCATGTTGTTTGACTGATAACTCCAAATCCTTATTCTTGGAGTTGAGACAGTTCACCTCCCTCTGGGTGGACTGGAGCTCAGAGTAGAGCTGCTTCTCAGTCTGGGACAGCTGGTTTTGTTTGGGGACATCCAGAGCAGTTGTTCTGGAGAGTCTTTTGGAGTTGGAGAGTTCCTGCTTGAGCGTGACTTTGTCCATCACAGCAGTGTTGTACAGGAGCCGTATCTCCTTCAGAGCCTTAATGTGCTCCTCTAGTTCTTTCTCCTTCTTCTGCAGAGTCACTTTGACTGTTTTCAGCTCACTGTCCTTCTCGCCGATCAGTCCTTCTTGTATCTTCAGCTTTGATTCCAAAGACTGTGTGACTTGGGCTTGATATTCCAGCTCCTGGTCTTTCCTGGACAATCCCTGGTTCAGCTTCATGGTCTCACCTGGAGCAGTTTCAGAACATGGTCTTTCTGTCGTTCTCTTCTGTGCGCTGGTCCTGGTGAAAATAATCAGAAAAATATTAAAAGATAAAATAAGTACAATATGAAAAGATATCTGCCATTAGAACAAGAAAATATGAGTTGACAAGATTTCTGAAAATAAGAAAATAATACTAGCCCCAAATTAAAACAAGCTTTAAAACTCACTGCTCAGATTATTTTCTCTAATAAGATTATGAAGTATTATTATCTTAAATCTAGTAAAATAATCTTACATGAAAAACCAAATTCAAGCAAAACAAAAAAGCATAATTTATGTTATTTTGGGTAAATAAATCTTACCAAGAAGTTTCTTTGTCCAGTGTAGACCCTCTGCTCTTGCTGTAGGACACTGGCACAGAGACCTCTCTCATCTCAGCGATCATAATGTCCTGCTCTCTGACTTTCTCTTGAGTCTCTCTCAGAACTCTTTTTGTGTTTATGAGTTCCTGCTTGAGCGTGACTTTGTCCGTCACAGCAGTGTTGTACAGGAGCCGTGTCTCCTTCAGAGCCTTAATGTGCTCCTCTAGTTGTTTGTCCTTCTTCTGCAGAGTAACTTGTGTGTCTGCAGTGTCCTGCTCTTTCTGTGGCGTCTCTCTCAAGACTCTCTTTGTGTTTGTGAGTTCCTGTTTGAGCTGAGCCTTGTCACTCACAGCTGTATTATACAGAACTCTCATCTCTGTGTGAGCTCTGCTTTGCTCTTTGACCTGTTGCTCCTTTTTCAGAAGAGCAACGTTGACTTTCTCTAACTCAGAGTCTTTTTCTTGGATCACTCTCTTCTGATCTGTGAGTTGGGCTCTCGCTCGCTGCAGCTGCTGCTGGAGCTGCGTGACCAGAGCCGCTTCCTCTGGAGGTGTGAGGACGAGTGGGCTCTCGTCTGGGGTGGAGTGGGTCTGGACTCCAGGCTCTGATGGTGGGGTGGAGTGGGTCTGGACCCCAGGCCTTGACGGTGTGGGGTTGAGCAGAGCTTCCAGGTCAAACTCCTGGTCGTAGAGGTGCTGGTCCTCCTCTAAAGTGTAGAGATACCAGGGCTTCATAGTGAGTGTTTTCGGGCTGGAGCTGCAGATAATGCTGTGTGTCTGTGGCTTCATGTGTCAGAAATTAAATAAACTCACGTCTTCATGCTTACACAGAGATTCATTATGTCATGGAGTGATGTCATCTCCTTGGTAACCAGGCAGTCTAGACTCTGAACTAGCCTAGTTCCATAGTTACCATGGTGACACAGTTAACATCTGCAGCCTGTTCTCTCCATGGGTGTCGATCTGGGACATTTACCCATTTGCCTAATTCTTGTGAAAATTATGAATTATACTAATGACTGTTGACTGTTAGAAATAATCTATTGGTACGAGAAATATGTGAAAACTTTCCAAGTGACCAATTAATAGTTGTAAGTAGTGATTAAGATGAAATTGTATTTGAAGCATGTCTCGCACATGAACATGAGTCTCCAAAATGTTGAGTCAGACAGCAAAGAGAATGAAATAGAAAGCCATAATAATAGTATCATTTTTTCTTACCCACTAAAATTTGTATTTCAGTTTTCATGACTCACTAAAATTTGACTTTTAAAAAGACAATTTTAAAAAGGTTTAGTAGTTTCTCTTTAAAGACAGAAGAAACATTTTGTTTAAAACCTGTAACATGAGAACCCAGAAAAGCAGACACAGAGTGCAGACCTTCACCAACATACACAGTCATTCTGAAATTAAATAATGTGTTCCTCCCATATTTCAGGTTTCATGAGAAAACAAAGATCCAACCCCCTGGTGGAGGTAAAGCCATAACATAAATGCTCTTCGACTTTAACAAAGAAAAACTATGCAGTAGAAATAGAATACTTTCAAAAAATAAAGCTTTTCCCAAGTCGTTATGATTCATCTGCATGAGAGAAATTCTTTCAAAGACACAGCAATTACAAAACGCACAAAAAAGAACTCCAATATTGCTCAAACTGAAATAAAAGTGAATATTAACAACCCCCAGAAGCATCATTTATTCCCAACGCTAATGTAGTAAATGGTTAATCCGCGCTGAGCAGTGGTGTTAAAGAGAATCTAAAACTTTTAAACAGATGTATCCATTACCATTTCCCCAATAATTATTTGGGCAGAAGAAATTTGCAGTAATTCTTCAGTCCTTCCGTAATGTCTCCAGCTGGGCCGATCTGCTACAAAAGTGCAGTTTTATTTTGAAGGCCGATTTCCCCTCGGACCAATCAGGATAATTTGTGGTGCCAGGAAGCGTTGTGGAGCTGTATCACTCAAAGTTTGGAGTCAGCGGGAGATCTGTCATGTTTGATGGGCTTTGGTGACACACTAATGAACAAGCAGATGTGTGAAAAAGACCTCGCTCACATCCTCAAAGTCTGCGGTGATCAGGAAAGCAGCTGCAGCTTTGAAATCAACCCCAAATCAACAAGTAACAAACGCTTTTACCCCCCCCTCCCCCACTATTGCTACGTCTTAGGACAAACTGTTGCATTCTTTAATAGTTTGTCCAGAATGTTTTGATCTTGTGCTGGAAATGGTGGTTTTCTATCAACAGAAACCAGCAGCCATTGTGCGTTAGAGCAACAACAAACATCTGCACATGAATATACTGTACGTTATCATTCGTTTAGCATTTTTACCTCTGAAAATAATAAATAATATACTAGAGCTGAAGATGAATGTTAACACCTGAAGTTGTACTGTATTTGGTACTTATTTGGATGGGACAGTGTCTATTAGATAGATAGATAGATAACAATAGTAATAATCAGCAAAATCCCTTCAGGTCACAGCAGCAGAGATAGAGCTGGGTGGAGCAGGACGGGTCACAAGGTGGAGTAGCCGCTTGGTCCGGACCATTTTCTCTGCTCTGGTCCAAAGTGAAATGCTAAATGCATCATTAGCATATTTCAAAAAGTTAGCATTCCTCCAGTGGATTTTCACCTGATCCGCTTGGTTCGGACCATAAATCCTCTCTGCTCCAGACTGGACCAGTGTAAAACCATGAACTGAACTGCAGCAACATATCAGGCAGAAGAAAGCAAGAAAAATAAAATGTATAAAGCACAAAACAACCACTGTTTCAGAGCGATTAGGACCTGCTGCCGTTTTCCAGCGCATTCAAAAGTAAACATTACTGAACAGCTGTGACTTTAAATGCACCAGATTGTAGCTTTTTGTATTTCCATGCAGTCCCACAGTCACACTCACAAACACACAATCATATACATCAACCCTCATGTTTTTACTGATAGGGGAAACCGGAGCACCTGGAGGAAACCGGAGCAGACTCAGGGACTCCACACAGAAAGACAGATTTTTCCCAGTTTTACCTCTGCTCTTGTCCTGCACTCTGGTCCTCTGAGAGCAGCTGCACTACATCAGCGTCCTCTGGTTGTGAACGCAGCCTCTCTCTTCTATCTTGTTCCTTTAGGCCACGTCTGTTTGCTTCACTTTATCTTAGAATGCCATTTAAAGCCCTGTCATGGCTGCCACTGGCTCGTATCTGAGGAGGAATCGCTCCGTGTGACATGAAGAGGCTGGTTTCCCAACGCTAGCAGCACTTTGTTCCTGTACAGTGTTTTGGAGCCGGTGGCTGTTGTTAGAGTGCAGGCCACATGGAGAGGGGTTAGGGATAGTTCAGGCCATTGAAGAAACTGGAAGTCCAAACACACATGCCTAAAGGACAAAGAACATGGATGTTATTCCAGGTGAAGTAGATAACATTTACTCAACTGCAGATCACCTGCAGCTTTCTGATTGGTTTGAAATGAGTTCAAATCCTTGGGGCCCCTCCTCATTGGTTAAACTAATCTCATCCAGCAAATAATGCTGGTAGCTCAAGGGCAGCTTTAAACATACTATTGTTGGACAAAACCTACTGTACAAAATAATACAGAGCATCATGCTCAGAAATATACATTATTAATCTGATTAAATACACTTTAAGCTGCTGAATCACCTTTGAATACATTTGACCCATCCTTCATTGCCACTATAGGGCACCCTGTAAGGGACCAGTAGATGCTTGGCGTTCGCAAGAGGTTATATCTATGGTGCAGGTTTTGGATGGAGGGATAACTGGAGCGCCTGGAGGTAACTCACTCATAAATGGGGAAAAACATGTCTTCTCCTGCAATAGTAACTGTTTTTTCTGGTTTGTTACACTTTTCAGATACAATATTATGTGTATTGTAGAATCTTGCCTGGATTGCTTCATTTCCCTCACACCTATGTTAGCTGATGCCTGGACCGCATCTCTTCCTTGTTTTTCTTTTTCCATCCATAGTTTCGGGGCAAAATTTTCCAGCGACTGAAAAACCGCCTCTGACAACCATCCGTCACGCGCAGACTTAATGTGATCGGACGCGCTTTGTACTTATCACGTCTATTTAGAGCTAAGCATGCTATTATAAACCGAGGTGTTACCCTTTCTGGCTGGGTCCGGTAAAGGCCTCAGGGTGCAAGAAAGATGTCCACAAAAGCTTCTGTTTACACCCAATAAAAACGTGTGATTCTTTGCCAGTGCCGGGCCTAGCCTTCTGGGGCCTTAAGCCAGATTTGTTTACAGGGTATTATGCACAATTGCAATATATCTCTTTAAAAACATATACAGGCAGAACTTACAAGCTGTATTTTGGTCTAGGAAATAGTCAAAAAATATATAGATAAATAGATAATTGTCGGACCAGGAACGTCGGAAGTGTGGCCCTCGGAAAGGTTCATTGCTGACATCAACCTCAGAAACAAAAAAGCCAAACACGAGCGAGGCTGGTCGATTTCTGCACATGCTATTTGCTAGCCAAAGATGAATTGGGGGATCGAAGTCACCTGATTGGTCAGCAACTATGGGTCCTATCGTCAAGGCAAAATAAAATAGAGAATAGCAGGATCATGTAAACCCAAAATAAAAAGGGATTAACAGTGAAAAGGATTATGTTTAGACACCAGACCCTGTTTTATTTTCATGCACAGTTTTACAGTTAGAATTTGTCTTTAAGAGTTTTGCTGGCTTCATGTGAAATGTATTATGTTTAAGGAAGTTGAGAAAATGCTTCTCTACAATATTTGCACTCTGTAAAAACTTTTTTATAGCCCTAAATGCACCCACTATTAAGGGTGCCCGCATGCATTTGAAAACTAACAAAATATAATCCCATACAATGTGAGGGATGTCTGAGAAACAAGACACATTCTAATCATTCTTTCAGAGTAAATATTGTCTCACCAAAAATGTGAACATTTTGTTATGATTTTTCAGTTGCTAAAAGTGGGACCTTTTGAGATCTCCGGGGGGCCCTATGCAGCTCTTTGTCTGCTTCTAGGAGCGGCCCTGTTCTTTGCTTTCGTATTTGGAGGCTGTCATCTTGGATTTGAGCTGTCGTTGAGCCCGGAGGCGGCGCATCTTGACAAATGTGACGGATTCTCTGATGAACTGTGAGCTCTGCCTCTGACTGTACGCGAACATACAGCAGGATTATGTACGGCGCGATGCATAATAAGGCATAATTCAATATCTCTCAGTACTTCATCCACGCCTGTGTTTGGCCTGTCTTGGCTGCATGCATGGGTATTAACTGTCACTGCTGTGGTTAATTCTATTTGTCATGTCGGTTTTCAAATGGCCAGATTATTTTATGTTGAATATTGTTCGTGGCAATGTTTCTAGTCCATGAAAGAAACCTCTGAACTCTCCAAGGAGTCTATAATAAATGTTTCCTATTCAATCCAATCCAGTTTATTTATATAGCATATTTAAACAGCAATCACGTTTCCAAAGCGCTCCACAAGCAAGTATAATATATGCACAAGAAACGTACCCTTAGCTTCACCAAGTATAAAACAATAAAAAAATAAAAAACAGATTAAAACCATAAATCCCTTTAACAGAAATAAAAACACACAGGACCACACAACTCATGTAGTGTTAGAAGCAAAAGAATAAAAGTGGGTCTTTAGACTATTGTTTGTCATATTGTCTTTGTACAGCTGCCTTTTAACTCGTAATAATAATAATACATACATGGAGAATTGTTTTAAGATTGTTTGATTAAAACATAGAATAATAGAATAATACCATCATTATTATGACTGTT